GCGGGGGGCGGGCGGCCGCGGGGCTCCTGCTCCCCGAGTTCGTCGGGCCCGGCCGGGCCGCCAGGCGTCTCAACTGACGACTCCACCTTCTCCCTCCCCCAGAGGCCCCCCCAGCCCTACACATCCCCTGAGGCCCCCAGCTCTGTGCGCTTTTACCCCCCAACACTACTCTGAAAAAGGGGTGGATGCGCTGTAACCGACTCCGGGGCAGGAAGGCTTTTAATTGTACAAATTAAAGCAATCTGCCAGGGCTTCCCGCTGTCAGTGTCGGGCGGGAAATTCGCTAATCACATTCTGAGGTGCTCCCACTTCTCTCTAGATCTGTGAAGCCCCCCCCCCCCCAGAGTTGAGGAAGGACCTCCAATCTGTGCAGTCCAAATGTTGGCGGGCAGCTGTTTCTTTTCTCTAGTATTGATGCTACTGTTCCATGTCCCTTGGGATGCAGCTCCACAGCCAGCAGGTGGGCTTTTGGGAGGGATTTGGGGGGCAGGTCTGAACCCCCACCCCGACGTCCTCCAAACTCCACCCCACACACATACAGGGACTCAGTACAAGTCAGGGGCTAGTTTTCATCCCTGAAGACACCAAAGCTCTCCCAAACCTGGGGGAAATCATTTGTCCATAAACATGGTCACTCCCCTTTCCTGAACCAGGAACATCTCTTCCCCTCCTGGAATGGAACAATTCCAGGATGGTTTCTCAATTACCTATTCTCTATCACCTAATGCGTAAGATGAAGGGGTGTGTGCACGCACGCATCTTCTTTAGGGTGGTCCCTGAAATACTTAAGAAACTGTTGATCGCTGTTGTTGGGGGTAATACCTGAGAAGGGGGTATGGGAGAAGACCATAAACCTTATAATTAAAAACTTTAGCTATTTGTGGGGTGGTAGACCCTGAGGGAGAAATTATCTTTTTATTCTTTCTAGCCTCCTACAACAGCAAGAGCAAGACGGAAATTAATGTCTCAATACATTACCCTGCTAAGAGCTTTTAAAAGAAAGAATTTATATCTGTCACATATGATATACCATGAATTTAAGTGAATATATTATCTCTTCAAGGGGTATTAGCATGTTAACTTTATTCATCATGTGAAAAGGTCTTTCTTCTCTTGTTCATTTCAGGCATCAGTGATAAGATGGGGAGGGTATTCAGGGAGTGGAAAATCCTGAAATCACATTGTATAAGTCAGTTCTCTTCCTGCATAATAATTACCCTAAAACTTAGTGAATTAATACCACAATAGACATTTATTACCTTTCAGTTTCTTTGGTCAGAGATTCAAGAGCTGGTTGGCAGAAAGTTCTGGCAATCATATGTCACTGGAAGGCTTGACAGTCACCAGAGAGTCAGCTTCCCCATGGCTCACTCACAGCTCACTCATGTCTGCTGTTGGCAGGAGACCTTGGCACTCCTCCAGAAAGCCTTCTCCATGAGACTGCATGAGTGTCCTCACAGCATGACAGTTGACTTCCCTCAGAACAAGAGCTCCAGGAAAGACCACGGCTGAAGACACAGTGACCTGGTTCTCTGAGATCATCTCTGTGACGTCCTCCACGTTGGTCAATTAGACCAATCTTGATTCAGTCTGGAAGTTGACTCCCCAAAGGTATGACTACCAGGAAAGGAGCACTGGGAGCCATCTTTGAGGTTGGTATCACCTACATCATCTTTGAAATCACATCTTTTTTTAATTTTAAAAGATTTTATTTATGTATGCATGCAAGAAGAGGGGCAGAGAGTGAGAGGATTCACCAGAGACAACATGGGTAACAGCAGGCAGATTGATGGAAATACACATTGTATAAGTCAGGGAAGCAGTGGGAGGGACAGAAGTGGTCTACTGTGCCATGTGGGTCAGCTCTCTGGCCTGGGATCAAATTCCAGACAGCCTCACAGTGCTGTACCTTACCCCTTGTGCCACCAGGGAGAACTCTATTTTTTAATTTTGAAACACATATAAGTATATAAAATAGTACCATGAGCTCCCCTATAGTCATCACCCATATTCAATAGTTAGCAAGGAAATGCCATAATTTTACTTTGTACAGGTATCCTTGAGAAACACATACTTTTTCCCACTGCTCCTAACCCCCATCCTAATACTAACTTCCCTTAGACCCCACTTTCTCTCTCTCCCTTTCCCTCTGCAGTGTTTCAGAGAGAGGAGAGACAGATATAAAGGAAGAAGGCCCCTTATGCTGGATATCATCACAAGGGTGGGTGCCGGCAATTTGAAAAGTTACCACAGATACAGTCCTTAGTCCATTTTTTTTTTTTTAAAGTTCACCCTGAAGTAGCCCTACCACTCTCAATTTTCCATTTGTATCCAGACCACCTAGGGAATCTTTTCTTTCTTTTTTTTTTTTTAAGGTTTATTTATTTATACAGAACTGGGGTACAGGGCAGAGGTGCAGGGGGGTGAGAGGATTCACCAGAGACAGTAGGGAGCTGAAAAGGAGCAGATGTACTGAAATACACTGCTGAGGGAAGCAGTCTGCTGTGCCATGTGGGTCACCTTCCTGGCTGGGGATCGAACTCGTGCTGTAGTGGCTGCAGATAGCTTCATAGTGCTGCGCTCTAACCTGCTGCGCCAACAGGGAGGCCGGGAATCCTGTTAATACAAAGATTCTGAATTCATAGGTTTAGGGTAGGACCTGAGAATCTGCATTTCTTACAAGTTAAAACAGGCCATGCAGACTTCATTAGTCCACAGGCTACTTTGAGTAGCAAGAGGTCCTTATAGTAGCAAGATCTGTGCTACCCAAATTGGTAGCCACTAGCTACTGTGATTATTTCAATCAATTAAATAGAAATAACCTCAGTTTTCCCAGCCACAATTTAAATGCTCAGTAAGCACATGCTGCCAGCCACCCTATGGGATGCAATCATGGAAAGTTTGGTCGAACAGCGCTGATGAAAGAACTGACTCATGATGTCTTTCACAGTTGCTCTCTAGACCAGACCAGTTATCTGTTAATGAACAACAAAAAAGAGGGCCTTTGCAGGGTAAATAGCAACAGGCTATTTATAGTAGATATTTATTTCCTCTTGCTGGAATAGATCAGCCCTGTGTCCTAAACACCATTTGAAAGATTGTTTGGTCAGCTCAGCATTTCAGCAACAGGTTGGCTCTGTCCAACCCAGTGTGAGACTGGGTAAATTGTTTTTCTCCATAACAGAAATATTTTTGCCTTTCTCAATAACTGGTAGAATTACTTAGAATCAGAGCTGGAGAATGCTAGAGGAAGATAACCCTACTCAGAAGCTACCCTTTTACTCTTTTTCAAAGACTCTGTGAGGCTAGGACAATATCGTCTAATTTGCTGTACATACTTAGGTGTTCCTTTTTGTGATCATAGAACTTTTCACCTACTATTTTATCTCTTTACACAACTGCTTTCCCATTAGTCTCCTTAGGTTTGCCTAGGTCTGGTTCCTGGTTCCTAACAGGCATTCCAAATATGTATATTGTATTAATTCATCCATTAATAATCACCTTAACTTAGCATGGTACTGTCTGTGAACCTCCGTGTCTGGTGTTGGAGCAAGGATGGAGCCTGGCATTTGGGCTTAGGTAAGTCACAGCTGTCTTCTGGCAACGGGACTTGGGGTATTTCCTTCCGTGCTGTTAAATTAAGTGCTGTTACCTGTAAAATAGGAACAATAGCACATGAGCTTCCTTCAGAAGGCTAATTTGGAGATCAAATGAGCTAATAGTTGTAAAAGTGCTTCATAGTTTATAAATATTATCTTTTTTTT